ATGACGGCCTCAATCTCAGCGTGGATATCTCCGTACTTGATTGAATGAACTTTCCCTGTCATTGTAACAGGTCCTGAGTGAATATTATCAACTAAAGCACCCGCGGTGATGGTCACCGTCGCACCCACTCCGGCCATTGTTATGATGGCCAGTGCCTCTGGTCCCGGCATACTTGCATAGATCGCAGTCGGGCCGCCTTCCTGGCGGAATTCGGCTCTGCCTAGCAACTGATTCAGGCTCCAAGTCACGTCCCCTGCTCCACCGGCCGTTGGGTTGTCCCCTGAGTCTGAAATGAAGAATGGTCTTGCTGAGGATGCCAGTGCCTTGTCGATAGAGCTTTGAAGAGAGCCGCTTGGCGCCACAAAGTGAAACTCTTTGCGTGATTCCCAGAAGAAGGATGCGAGTCTCTTAGCTTCCGCAGCTACGACATCTTCAACCCATCCAGTAACAATGACCACGGCGTGATTGCGCGGTTCATCGGCCCAAGCATAACCAACCCATATCGCGGCATCTAAAATATCCTCCATGGCTTCCGCTTCAGGTAACAGAGCGTAAAGGCTTTTTGCTGGCTCGATGCGGGTCGATGTCTGCTCTCCAGGTAGAAGAATTGGAATTGGGATCCAGGCTTTCAATGGCCGCTTCAAGCTGTCAGTGCGCGATTCCAGTACACTAACAAGGTTCCAGCAAGCGCGCTCTTTTGTTTTCCAAGCATCTTCATGAGGTGCCATGCGATAGCATGTTATCAGGTCCGTTTGATGTGCTAATTCGCGAGACACATTTCCATGTAGGTCCATCGATGCCGATACCAAAACATCAGGGCCAATGACGACCCGGATGCGGCGGAGAAGCTCAGCTTCAGCATCGTCCATGCCCTCAACACACATTGCGCCATGAATATCAAACCACAGTCCATCAATGGTTGTTGAGGCGACCAATTCCGTCAGGCGCGCAATGATTTCACTACATAATTGTTCGAAACCAGCTTGTACCACAACGCCTCCGGGAAGCGCATGACCGATAAGTATACCTTTCCATTGTGCAGCATCTGCAAGAGGAGTTCCGGCGTGAAGAAAGGAATACTTGTCGATTATTTCTTTGCCACGACGAGGATGAAAGGCCTCGGCCAGGGTCCGTGCTGGGGAGAAACTGGAAGTTTCACAGGCGAGTCCTGCGATAGCAATGACTGGGCGCGACATGGCGAAAGTTTTTAGCGGGAAAGGCTGACTATGATAAACAGGGAAACTCCAACTAGAAGCTTTCGTTTATGCGCCCTGGAGGTTCCTTGAGGGATCGGAACAGTACGATGGGGTCGCATCCACGGGTGGGTCGCGGTTTACTGTGACAGTACAGTGCATGTACTGTATTTTGGCACGTGACACTTTGGTGAGACATCTTCTAATTGGTTCGGAAACAACTAGCCGTAAAGTCGTATCTTTGGCGTTACCCAACCCCCTTCTCTTTTAGTACTGTACCTC